AACAGGTGTTAACAGCGAAATCAAAGTCTTTAAATATCAGATGTTTGTTAGTAGCCCACATACCAGTTTCAGCTTTTTTGTACATGTTTCTTTCAACCAATCAGCTCAAGGGAAAGAAAGGCCTGACCACCAATGGGTTCGCTGCAAAGCAGAAGTTGGACAAGAACCAGCCCAAAAAGGCCAATGGAATCAGCAGCACTGTTCCAGAGAAACGCAACAACTCTAGTAAGAGATTGTAACATATAAAAGCACATCTGATAATCTCAAAATGAGTCTTTCATTTTTTTTTTTTTTAAAGTGGACGTATGGCTGAAACTAAACTAAGCAGACATTAAGTCTGCATCCATCATCCTAGCTATTACACCACTAATTTATTTCAAGGAAAAAGAAGCCACACAGATTTGTGGAGAATGCCGGTATGTGGAAATTGCAGTGCTGTTAGACAGCAGTGGATCTGTTGACATGCTCCTTTATAAACTCAATCACCCCAAATTCCGTTTCAGACAGGCAGTCAGTCAGTCACAGACATCCTAATCATCCAGTGGCCATTTATGTGGACTTGCAAATATTTGGATGTGGTATACTGTATATTCTGTCTGCCTTTTAATCTGCGTTTGTGGTCTCAGAGGCCTTTAATGCGATGAAAAGACTGAATCCAAAAGTTAAAAATGGAAAGATTTTCTGATGATGGTTTACTTTGATTATAATGCATCATTAACCTTCACAGGTGTGGATCAGTATAAGTACGGGAAAAACAGAGTGGAGGCAGATGCCAAGAAACTCCAAGCGAAAGAGGAGGAGCTGATGAAGAGGAAGCAGGAAATTCGAAACCGCCTGACCCAGCTGAAAAAAGACAGGAAGGACCTCCGCACTGCTATAGAGAACAACACAGGTGAGGATGTCAACGGGATTCAAGTTTGATTGAATCTGTATGTGTCAATGACAAGTAAGAAAAAAAAAATAGCATTAAAAGGTTTGAGGTAATAAATACTTACATTAAGCAAGAATAAATTGATCAAATTGTGACAGGACATTTATAATGTTACTAAAGTTTTCTATTTCAAATAAATTATGTTTTTTAAGCTTTCTATTCATTAAAGGATCCTGAAAAATGACAGTTATAACCTCTCCCGGTGTTTTTTTCATCCAGGTAAGCGCTCTCAGGCATCTTTGACAGAGAGACTTAAGAAAGTGGAGGATGAATGCAAACTAAAAGAGGAAGAACGAGTCAATCTGGAACTGGAGCTGACGGAGGTGAAGGAGAGTCTGAAGAAAGCCTTGAACGGAGGCGTCACCCTGGGCCTGACCATTGAACCCAAAACGGGCAGCTCCAGCCCACAGGTCTGGAAAAACAGCAACAATTTCTCTAACATAGACATGATGTAATACTAACTGTAGGGTTGTGTCACTTCCATTTTTAAGTGATAAAAGAAAAGCAGGTATCAAAATGTGTCTCGTTTGTTTTTAGTCTCCAGTGCTAATGAGGCGAACGGTGGACAACTCACCCATTTCCAGCTGTGACACCAGTGACACTGAGACCTGCTCTCTACCAGTCAACAGTGCATCTCTGCTGCGGCGTCAGACACAACAGAAAGCCTCACCTGTGCGAGGACACGTCCTCAGGAAAGCCAAGGTCAGTAACCACATGACACTTATTTTCTTCATCACACTAGATATTAATAGCAGGTAACATATGCTGGGTCTTATGTAAAAGCATGATCCTAAAGTTGCATTTACTTTAAGATGTTTACACTACAGTGCATATTTTCCCCTGTGTTCATTCTGTTCTTTTAATTTTTTTTTGCAGGAATGGGAGATGAAGTCTGGCACATAAGTTCTTTTCCACTAACTTTTCATTTTCGCTGTATCTATTTATTTTTGTCCATATATGAGTGATGTTGAAATTGAATTGACTGAACCATAGACACACTATTTTCCAGAATTAATTCTGGAAGACCTTGACTGAATCTGGTGCCCAGTGCTGTTTATCATTATAGCACTATCCCTGGATCATGATCTGACTATAAAGTGACTTACAAATAAGGAAAACTCAAGCAATTTGTCATATAGAGGCCAACAGTAATGCCACAAAACCAAATTTATATACACTACCGTTCAATATACCATTTTGGGGTCAGTATAATTTTTTTTAGGAATTTATACTTTTATTCAGCAAGGATGCATGAAATGCATGAAAGTGACAGCAAAGACAAAATATTTATTTCAGATTAATGCTGTTCTTTTGAACTTTGTTCATTAAGGAATCCTGAAAAAATGTAGCATGGTTTCCACAAAAATATTCAGCAGCACAACTGTTTTCACTGCAAAAAATGCTTTTCTAGCTTAGATCTTTTGTCTTGTTTCCAGCCAAAATATCTAAAAATTCTTAAATCAAGAAGGATTTTCTAGACAAGTAAAAATGATTGTCTTGTTTTCAGAAAAAACAAGTCAAAATTAAGCGAGTTTTTGCTTGAAACAAGCAAAATAATCTGCCAATGGGGTAAGAAAAATAATCTTGTTTCAAACAGAAAACAAGATTATTTTTCTTACCCCATTGGCAGATTATTTTGCTTGTTTCAAGCAAAAACTCGCTTAATTTTGACTTGTTTTTTCTGAAAACAAGACAATCATTTTTACTTGTCTAGAAAATCCTTCTTGATTTAAGAATTTTTAGATATTTTGGCTGGAAACAAGACAAAAGATCTAAGCTAGAAAAGCATTTTTTGCAGTGTTCAGCATTTATAATAATAACAAAAGATGTTTCTTGAGTGTCAAATCAGCATAATATAATGATTCCTGAAGACTGGAGTAATGGCTGCAAAATATTCCGCTTTGCCATCACTGGAATTAAAATATATTAAAATAGAAAGCAGTTATTTTAAATTGTACTAATATTTCACAATGTTACTGTTTTTCTCCATTTCTAATCAAATAAATGCAGCCTTGGTGAGCATAACAGACCCCAAATTGTTGAATGGTAGTGTAACACTAGAGGAAAGAGAATTATTATTATGATTTTATGTTATCATGAACACAGAACATCTCAGATTATGGTCCACAATTTACAATCTAAATATATTGTGCGCAAAGTTCACTGGTCTCAATCGGTAATCACTTAAAAGTCTATAAAGTCTGTTTCTTTCTTCAACAAGAAGCCATTAATGGAAGACAAAATCTTCCAAGTATTTATTTGTAAATGTTTAAATAAATTTAAACCAGTCTGTGTTTGTCTGTTGATGTTTAGTTATGCCTTTCATTGGGCTTCACACTAGTTGTAGAGAGCAGCTTCGGGATATCTGTCTTAAGATAAATGTAAATTATGGAATGTGATCATTCAAAGCTTGTTCTTTACAGAAAAAGTGTAATCTGTATGAAAGTTTTTTACCAGCCTCTCCTCCTCCTCGATGTCTGGCCCATTATTTTCTATCCAGTGGTCTGGCCAAACTTTTGGCTATGGTGAGAGCAGCCCATGGGGAATAGGGCAGCTCAGGCCAGGGTGTGGTCCTCTTCTGGCTGACTGCTCTGGAAACTGGGCCTGAAAGTACCGCTACACTTCCCCTCCGCCGAACACACTGCAACCACTGCACTGAAACAGCTGAAACACCAGAACACTGCAATGCATCATACACTGACAGTTATACATGTACTGTATGCTAACACAAATAACACAGCGGGCATATGTGAAGTTTCATTATAGTTTGCAGTCTTAAGCTGTGCATGTGCAGGTGTAAGAGCTTGCAAGTAATCCGTTTGCGAACAAAAGAAAAGTTCAGGCTGTAATCTGCTTTGTTTTGACCACTCAAAGTCCAGCCACCTGATGTACTGAAAATGGTGCTTTTAAGCAATGCTTAAACTCTTGGTGCTTAATTTAGACCTACTTTTGTATTAATGTTTAAGGCACATTTATAACTCTTTGTTTATTGTGCAGTGAAGTTTGGCTTTTGATTTGAAGCTACACATTTTCAAGCTACGCTACACGCAGGGTGCTGTGTAAATATAAACCTTTTCTGCTTGGGTCAGAGCTTCTTTTTTTTTTTTGTCCAGTCATTTTGTAAAAGTCGGCACTGGATGAATGTACCAAACATCATATACATCAGTATATTTGTAAAGGACAACATTAAGTCACCTTTGTCTCCAGCTCAAAGTAGATGAGATGCTTCAGTCTTTCTGCACAGCTGCTTATTCTGTAGTCAAAGTGATTTACTGATTTGACAAAGTAACATAAAACCTTTAGATTGAGTCAGCTTTCAGCCTCACTTTGCAAAAGTAAAGGAATGTGGAATGTGAAAACTTTGCTTTAAATGTCATTTTGCTTTGAGGGTGGGAGCAGCAAAGACACCATTGTTTGTTTTGCACCTTATGGATATTACTCTGTTTTATTTTGCTGATGACTGTTGTCAACTTGGCAACAAAAAGACTGTACATAGAAATAATTAAACTGTTTTAAAAATTGCTTGTGTGTTCCAATTTGTGTATTATTACAATGCGCGATAGACCATAACTGGCAACATTTCTTTTGTGAGACTATAATGATCCACAATCACAATGACCCTCTTATGTTTCACTCCAGCAGTTTACTATTATATTACACACTAAAAATTAACAGGGCCTGAATTTTGTTCAGATTTTGGTTCACATAAATCTAGCCAAAGATGGAAAGTTTCCTTTAAATTCCTTTAAAATTGTTATTAAATTCAGTGACTCACACAGAACACTGGCGACCTCATGCGTACGAAGATAAAACAATCAGATTATTCAGATTTCTCACTTTTTAGATGGTTTTGTCACGTGGTATCTGTTACTTTTCTCATCACTAGTCAAGATGGCCTAATCAGAGTTGTTTTTAAATAAAGATTTTAAAATGTATTGTATAGAAATGTCTTTGAATGGTTTCCGTTTGTGCGTCTAGCATAAAGATAAACAATTATTATAAAACTCCGCTAGATGGCAGAGTCGTGTTTTTCAGATGTTTACCACCATCGATAGATTTTACCGAAGAAGAGAGAAACGTTTGGCCCTCGAATAATAGTTGTGCTTTTCCATTTTCTATATTTGTATTCATATCGACAGTATTTTTTGCTCATAGTGGCATATTTCGGAAAACATGAATGAGGATATTTTGACCACTCTGAAAATACTGATCATCGGAGAAAGTGGAGTGGGCAAATCCAGGTATGAGATTTAAGATACTTAAAGTTTACAGATGTCATCCGATGGAACAACAACAACAACAACACAGATGCTTATATTAAAGCAACCTGACCTCGCTTTAGTTAGGAACCACTGAATGTTTGTGAATTCAGTCTTCTCAAATTCCCATACCACAAATAACAAATTTGCAGATGTGTGTTTGTGTCAATTTGCTAGTAAGAAGGAAAGTCTCTGATTCACCTTTCTTTCCCCTTTTCTCTTTCTTAGTCTTCTTTTGAGATTTACAGATGATACATTTGATCCAGAAATTGGTGCAACAATTGGTAAGTCTGTAAAATCATATGACTAAGGTAATGTTGCTAGAGGTCCAAAATATGTAAATTCAGGTTTAAACAGCAGTATTCTCATCCTTTGTAGCTAAAACAGACAGTCACATTGTGTTTTGAGTTTCTGATAACTGACATGTAAAAAACAGGCATATACAGTATATTACAAAGTACAGTATTATATATTGATTAACAGGCATTGATTGCCATCTAGTTCTGTATATGGGTTATAAATTGTTTACAGATCGCAGATTGCTTGTTGTGTGAGCATAAGAAGTTTCTTGGTTTTTAAGTTTGTTTAATTATGTGCCTTTATAATGTAATGAGCACAGAAACCTAACCATCGCAGGACACATTGACGTAAATCACACATGCTTCTCTAGTGCTGGTCTTACTTGAAAAACAGCTTTACTTGCATTGTTGAAATTCTGGACCTATAAGTGAAATTTTACATTTTGAAAAGAATATTTATCCATGTCAAATCCTGTTGAACAGCTGCACTTCTTCACTAGTGTCTTTACAGTGGAGATCAATGTATACAGTGGGTACGGAAAGTATTCAGACCCCCTTCAATTTTTCACTCTTTGTTATATTGCAGCCATTATTCTGTGTTTTTCTGTCAATATGGGGTGCTGTGTCTACATTAATGAGGAAAAAAAATTAACTTAAATGATTTTAGCAAATGGCTGCAATATAACAAAGAGTGACAGATTACAGTGGGTCTGAATACTTTCCGTACCCACTGTAATCTGGTCACACTTTAGTCTGGGGACCAATTGTCACTATTAACTAACTATTAACTACATTAACTGTAAATTTGCTGCTTATTAATAGTTTGAAAGGTAGTTGTTAATTTTAGGTATGGTGTAGGATTAAGGGATCAAAAATATGGTCATGCAGATGAAGGTATTAATATGTGTTTTATGTATACGAATAAACAGCCGATGTGTTAGTAATAAGCAACTAGTTAATAGTGAGAGCTGGTCCTTAAAATAAAGTGTTACCTTACCTTATACTCTATGTTGTGGAAGTTCATTGGTTGTTCAAAGCAGTGGCTGTTACTTTGACATTTAGGTTGACGTGTGTTGATGTGACCGCCGTTTTCTTTTCAAAGCCCCCCAATCCAAACCAAACAAGTCCAGATCTGCTTCTTTGGCTTCCTCTGGTAAATCTGTCCATGCTGTGTTGAAATTCAGGAGTACTTCATGCCTCCTGATCTTTCATTCACAGAGTGCTGAGAGATTGATTCCCCTGTCATCTTTACACATACTTTCATTTTTCTTTTATGAATGTAAATCACTTATGTTTGTAATTGATGTGGCTTTGCTGAGTGATGAGACAGGTGGTTGAGTCATCCTATTTTCTTTTTATCTGTACGTAATAAACCCACAATTCCCCATTCAGCTATATATTCTGGTCTTTCTAACTTTAGTCGCTCTGGGCTTGTTGCCTGACAAATATCTGGGTCCATCAAAAATTAAATCTGTCTCGCTATATATGAATGGTTTTATCATAATCCTCATAAAACATCTAGACTGTATTTCCATATATGCTTGTGAATCTTTTTTTGAATATTCCACCTGATTATTTACATTTGCTAGTGTTTGTATGTGTTTGTCTGTTGTAACCATTTTTTGGGGACTAATTTTGTAACCATATTTGTACCCAGTGTAAACCTGACAAAACCTCCCAAAACCTTCTTTTGAGGATGTCCTCATTTGTAAAAATTGTAAATAAAGTTTTTTTTTTTTTAATGTTTTCAGTTAAGGCTAGGGTTTGGTCACAGTACATTTATAACTAGCTGTATATAAAACTCTTGCATCTACACTTGACCTTCTAAAACAAGCACTCTCTATTCTATTTCTATTCTATCCTATCTACTTTTTAATCTTTTTAGTTATTATTAAAAAAACAAAAACAAAAAAAACCCTTGCTATATGTACTTTGTTAGACTAACCAGAACTTGTCACAGCACTTACATAATGTTACTCTTTTGTTGGTTTGATTGCATCCATTGTTATCATGTGTAAGTCGCTTTGGATAAAAGCGTATGCTAAATGATTAAATGTAAATTTAAAACAATGAAAGCTAATATGATGTTCTATATGTACTAAACACATAATTTATTTCCATTAAGGTGTGGATTTCAAGGTGAAAACCCTGGCTGTGGATGGAAACAAAGCAAAGCTAGCAATCTGGGTGAGCAGTCAATCATATTTTATCCCTACATTTAGAGTGGCACAGATTTATGTTTTGCGAAGGTTAACTATTTATTATTTAGTTTCCAGGGAAATCATGTCTTAGTTTGGACATGACTGTATGAGACAGATAATGCTTGTATAAACTTTTGACTGTGTTTCACTAATATAACACAAGATGGCTGTGTTGTTCCTTCCTTTTTTCCTGAAGGCAGGCGGCTCCTTTTGTAACGTCTTTATAATTCAAAATATTCATTGTTACGTTATTTAACACTTGATTTTGTTTCGTGTTTAAAGGACACAGCAGGTCAGGAACGTTTTCGAACTTTAACACCCAGTTACTACAGAGGAGCTCAGGGTGTCATTCTATGCTCTCTGTTTGCTTTTTCAGCTTCATCTCTACACTGCTCTATACATATCTACAAAAAAATAGTAGTTATTCTGGATTGTTAAATACATAATGCTTATGTAGACATGGAAAAATGGTTCTGTATTTATAACTCTAATGAAAATGATGTCTAATTCTGAGCTGTTTTTCCTCTGTCTGCGTAGGAAGACCGTGAGCTAGAGCGAGAAGAGGGTCTGAAGTTCGCTAGAAAACATTCCATGCTTTTCATAGGTGAGTAATCACTAAGATGTTCCCTTCATCCTGTGATGAGTTTCTTGAGCCCTCATTATTCACTAATACACAAGCTTTAAATAGGAATACACTGACATTTTATTTTGGTTTCATTTCCCATATTTCATTTCAAGATTCATCATCTTCACACATGGAAAAATCAGACATTTGCCATAAGCTAGTTTATTCAACTGCCGTAATACTCACATGCTACTATTTTTAAACACTTGTGCCCATTTGCTAAAAAACAAAGATTATGCTATTTAATTGAGAGATGGATTATTTGTATAAATTGAGCATTCATTTATTATGACAGTTAATTCAAATCAGACTTTACAATGGTTCTGATTTATTTCTCATTTTTGAGCTTGTGTAATCGTAACAGCCCTGTGTATGTATTTGTGGGTGACGTCCTGCATTCCTCTGCGCTGTGGGTTTGGTTTGTAAGTCATGTGACACGCCACATTAGTGGGTATGTAAGCAGCAATCTGTCTGAATTAGCTGTGAAGCCCTCACACCAAATGAAATCTGCAGATGGACACCATGGCTGTGGCCCGTGTGCTTGAGGCCAATGCTTTGTTTTTCAGATTGAATGTTTCCTATTCACTTCTACTTTCTCCTGACTTTTAATATTAAAGACCAAGTGTTTCTTATGTTTTTGCAGGACACTATTCTTACTATTCTTTTTTTGGTTTTGTATTTGTTTTGAAAGAGATTATTCAGCAAGGCTGCATTAATTTGATAGTAAAGACATGTATAATGCTACAACAGATTTCTATTTGAAATACATTTTGTCTCTTTGCAGAGGCCAGTGCTAAGACGAGAGATGGTGTTCAGTGTGCATTCGAGGAGCTGGTGGAGAAAATCCTGCAGACTCCAGGCTTGTGGGAGAGCTTGCACAAGACAAGAGGTGTTGCCCTGTCTGAACTCTCTGAAACCGGTCAAGGAGGCTGTGGAGCATATTGCTCACTTCTCTAACACACAAACTGCTGTTTAAACAGTGCAGGTTAGATTAGTTAACGCATACGTATGCAGGATACATAAACCTTTTTTGGCCTATATATCTGTGCAAGCACACAAGCAACACTCATATCTCATGCTTAAAGCATTATCATTTAACGGGTCCAGCGATATAAGGACGATCACTGGAAAACTAGATAAGCCTTAGAGGGGACCTTTCACACATTTTTTAGCGATGAAATTCATTTAAAGAGCTCTATTGAAGGCACGCTCATCATTTTTATTCAGGAGGGAGATAAAAAACTTGATTACTCTATTATACCTCAGATCAATTTGCTTCTCAGTTTGTATATTTCTCGTAGTGTTTTACTTTGTTTTGTCCCAGTGCCTGTGTTTCTTATTTAGGGAGAGGTAAACACTCATCAGTTTAACTCGACCTTTCAAACTGCTGGAATGAGACCTCAGTAGAACAGATTTCCATCAACATGCCCTCGCTTGATGTCTGCAACGTGCGGAACTCCGTTCCTTCTTTATCTGTCCATCTTTGGATCCCACTTTTTCCTACTGTCAATCACTTGTTAACTCTCTTTCCTCTCTCTCGCTACATGTATCTGTCTTCAATTCAGTTCTATCAGTTCCGTCTCTGTTTCTCCACGTCCCTCTCTACAGAATAATAGAGTTACCAAGGATTTTGGATTTGAGTTTTACTACTTTTATTGACTTGGACCGCCCACATAAAAATATGTTTTTGAAAAGTTTATAAATCAAACAGATTGGCACAACAAGTTTCTGCTGTACATATAAATGAGGGTAAAAAATAACTGGAATACCATAGAATAGATTAAGGCTAAGAGAAAAGGCTAATTTCTTTCTTTTGAATATAGGAATATTTTCGCCTGCAGATTCAGGGACACTTATTGTCTTGACATGTCTGTCCATCTCAGAGAAAGGAAAAAATTTAAGAAAATTCTTAGAGTGAGTCATTAGGGTGTGACTATAGATGGCTGGTTTTCTCACACAGAGAAATGGAACAAAAGAACAAATTTAGAAATAATAAATGTTCGCCAAAAAAATCTATGACACTTAACAGCGATGCCAAATGAATATTTCCATTCTCCTAGTTTAATCTGCACTATCCGATCTGGACTATTTAGTCTGTTATGTTTGTTTTAGAGAGACATCCAGGGGGTCCCAGATGTCTGGTCTTGTGTTCGTAGCTTAAAAACTGGGTGGTAAATTCCTGTTGAGAGCCAACCTCAGTTACAGCAGTTTCAGAAAGTGTGTGGCACATGTGGAAGGAAACGCTGGGTTTGTATATACACCCACAGAGTATTTTCATTTTTGCGCACTTCTGCATTGCTCTTCACTTGTTTTGAAAATGCAAATTATTAGGCAATTATAAATGTATCGTATAGTTTCCAGTTGCATGCAGTGATGTCTTCTGTGCTTTTTATGGCATTTATATGTAATGGTTTATGTTTTGACCAATCACTGCATATAAAAATCATCCCATATTTCCATTCATCTGAGGAATTTAACTAATTTTGGTTTGGATTCCTTACATAATCATAATTTTCTATTTGTATGCAAGTTATTGCTATTCAGCACTAAATCCAATGAAAACGCATTTACGCAATATTGCATACTGTTATTGCACATTCACTGCTGTATGTAAATATTTGCTGATGATGGTCATAAATACATTGTAATGTTGATGTTTGACACTATAATGCTGCACTTAAAATGACAATATTTTGTCTTTGAATACCTTTTTCTCTCTCTCTTTCACTTTCTCTCATACCTTTTTCCAGCAGTGAGTTCTTGTTAAATATGACCCACCACAGGAATGTATCTCCAGGCCTCTGCGATTTCACCGTTTCCCGTTACATTTCTGCATGAATTCTGTGTAGTGACTGAAGTGTTTGCTTATTCATATGTTCAGATGGCATCGTCATATGATTTCCGCACCCGTTCGATGTGGATGAATCCAAATTATTGCATTTGGACAGACAGGCAGGTCCAGTAACCATAGTGATTGCAGGTTTTTCACCGTAGATATGTCTTCAGAGCCATTTGAGCAGGAGGTGTGTAATTCCAAGTTGACAAATGAAGGCCTAGCTGAAAGATCTCCTTGGATTAAGTACAAAATGATTTGAAGAAAGTATGTGTCGATCATACATCAGCGACGCTTTGCGGTGTCTATACTGTATTGTTCTTATATGACTGGCTGTCCATAGTAGTCCTGTAATTCAGTACGTTATATTCCCCCTGAAATCTTCTCTAAATGCTCCCACCTGTCAGTTTGACCTTTCTCTTGGATGAGGAAGGGATATTCCAGGCACAATATTATAATTGCATAATATAATACTGAGGCCTAATTACTCTGCTGGTTAGGGTAGCTAAAAGCCTGGTTTGGACCAGTATGCTGAGGTTCAGTGTCCAAAATTCAACATGTGCGGGTGACCAGCCATTCTGGTCTTTTCAGGGTAAGGAATCCTAGGATATAAATCAACTTTCTTAGGTCCCTTTGTTGAGTTTTTAATGCTGTATTCCTTTCTGTTCAGCCATTTTAGGTTATTCAATTTTAGTAAATTATTGTTTGTTTGCATTATCTGCTTATTTTAGGCAGAAATCTGTGGAATTTCATGAAAAGGGTTTCTAAATCTCCAGAGCTGGAAATACTGCACTATTAATTTTATCTTAATGCATAATACAAAAATAACTTTACAAGTTGCTGAGGTCTGAGGCAGTGTTAATTTTTCCTTGTTTTTTGACAAAAATATCCTGTAAATATCAATATTTTAATCATATATTAATTTTAGTCAGATTTATACTGACTAAAATGGCATCTAATTTTAAACAGTGAAAATAAGTTCTTTTTTTTTTGTGGAGTTTTTTGCCTTTATTATGGCAGGATAGTGGAGAGCAGACAGGAAATGAAGCAGGAAATAGAGGGGTAGAGATCAGGAAAGGTCCTCGAGTTGGTATTCGAACTCGGAACGCCTGTAGCGCAACAGGTTTTATACGTTGGCACACTTGCCTACGAGGCTATGAGAACCGACATTCACATCATTTTTTGTGTAGAATGTTTGTTATGTTTATGTGTAAATATGTGATGAATCTTATACATATAGGATGTGTTTGTTAATTAATCGCTAACAAAGTGCTTCAGTTTTCCATTTTTGATTTACTGTTCTGCCTCAGCAATCAGATATGATATTCAGCCTTTCTGCATTTTTATTTATCAAGAAACATTGTCAGTGCATTTTTAATATCTAGCAGCGTTTGTTTTTGAATCTGTGTTCCCTTTTGTGGCGAATGCGATACAGTAATGATTGACTGTTGAAGATCTCTAAGTTCTGTTTTCCAGATTCCGTTCGCTCGTTACACCAAACCAGGCGCTTATATCTGTACATTTCTGCATAGGCCATCAGTCCATGTCTCATTACTACCATCTTTCATTCTTTCTTTCCCCCTTCTCTCTCGTGCATGGCTCAGTGCTCAGACGGCCTCTCTGTGGGCTCATCACACTGTCCTCCATGAGCTCATTATGAGACTGCAATGGTGGTTTCATAAGGTGTCGAGTTCCCCAAACGTCAATGCATTTGGCCTGCTCACACACCCTGCTCTCGTTATCAGTCTGATTGATTTGCCGTATCGGCCGGGGGAACGGAGCCAAAGCAGTTGTGGGTCGGAGGATGGCTTGCGGAAAGTGCATGAAGGGTCAGGGTTTAGTGATGATTTCGGAATCTGTATTTCACTCTAGAGACACATTTAGCGCATCGTGCTGTGTATAAACCGAAGGAACGTTTTCATTAGAATTCTACGGTAAATGCACCTTAATGGGGGGTGAAATGCGGGGTTTCTTTGTACCACATATTCTCTAGTTATTGATGGCATATTTGGCCAGTTTTGAAGCCTCGGTTAACCGTGACATTGGTCTGAAAAGCAATATGCTTGGCTGCCGTCCATTTCCAAATCCTTCTTAACCTAGAATAAGACTCTATCTGGATCTGAAACACTATTTATGCTAAGTATCAAGTTGATTAGAAATGTCTGTGGTAATGCGTGTAATTTTTTGCAATAATCCTCTACAACTGTCATAATCATTTCCCTCCAAGTGTTTAAAATACAGGAACTGCCAGAATAACCACAGTTTATTCTTTCTAGATAAATAGCCTAGTTCTTCTGACTAGTTGGATATGTATCTTGGAAGTTCATATTGGTCACAGTGCAGAAACAGCTCACAAGCTTTTTGTGGCCTTTTAATGCCATTATTGCAGCTCAAAGTCTCACTTATTCACGAAATTGTTCTTTTAATAAGTTTTGGTTGGTTGTACTTGCGCTATCACTATACTGAAACATTCTAATAACTTACAGCATTACAAATCTAGTGGTAGTTATGCTTACTTTTATTCTAAAAATTGAAGATTCACAGTGTACAAATTCATATGAAATCACCCTGCAAATAAAGATCGGTTTGGGGCCTCAGCAAACTTCCAAGGAGACTATAGGATAACTTAAAGTTTAATTATATTATGAAAAATCTCAATACAAATGCTAAACAAACAAACAAAAAAATGTAAACTGAAATCATATTCTTAATGTATTCACATTCCCCTCCCAACCTAGTGGTTAATTATTTCAATATGTCAACACTCTCCATTTCTGTTAACAAAACCAATACTTTAAACTATCATAATTACAGCAGAAATACCAGAATAAATATCTTATTTAGTATAGGGATCCTTCTGATATAGTGTTGGAAAATGTCAAGTGAAAGAGGTTTGGAACCACTGCCTTAAAGGGGTCATGAACTGAGAAAGCAAAATTCCTCTGATCTCTAGACATATAAGAGGTCATTGTACTATAAAAACTTCCTGTAAGTTTCAAGGTTTCTAACTTTCTCATTAGTCTAAAAACAGCTTATTTTGAAGCCAATCTGCCAAAACGACAGCTTGCGGAGTGTACCACTCTATGATGTAATAGTGTGGCTAAACACCGCTTCCGCAGAAGAAGATCAACGCCTGCTTCTACATCACTGCCTCTTTAGCCCCGCCCACCGATTCACGCCTGTAGTGTAAATAATGAGAGAGGCAAACACAGGTCTACGCAGAAACAAAACACCGACTATATTGGATCTGACAGTAGTCAATGAGTGTGGGTTACTGTTTTTATTACATGGTCAGTATTGCTATGTACTGAGTATTTATGTGTTTTTAACCTAAATCACCGCAGCATCCATCTATGAAAAACTGCAAAACTGTTAGCCAATCATAGCGAGTCTAACAGAGCGTTCCAATGAGGGGTTCAAAACAGGACAGAAAATAGCCTATTACTTCTAAATTAGGACATATTTTGATGTAAAAATCTTGACTTTATAAGTGGACCTCAGAGAACCGTGCGTACAAAATAAAAAACAAAGGCAGTTCAAGACCCCATTAAAGGTTATTTAGGATACTTGTGTGCACTATTCAGGGTAGATACGGCACACAGGTTTACCTTTCGTGGAGAGCTGACCAACCAGCTGATTAAGCCAGATTTTAGGCTAAATTTCATTAACACACAGTTGAGAGAATTAAGGTGAGATATAATGATAAAATTACTCGGAACATTCACAGAGCCCTTTAAACTTGCATGTACTGTATAAAGAAGCTCACTGTCTGGTCCCTGACTTCAATCTTTAAAACAAACCTTTGAATTCCCTTTCTCTGCTCTGGACAGATGACGGTCCTGGCTGTAAAATCTGTTGCGCACGATTTAGATTTGGCTGGGCCGTCCACTCTCAAATCCATCCATCGTTTTCAATCTCTATACTTGACAGAGCTCTGACATCCCATCCCCAATTTGGCTGTCTCCTCTTTCCTCACCTTTGTTTTCCAGACATCGGATGTGCGGCAGCGCTTTCCTCATCAATAAAAAGGAAATTAATAACACTAAATTCCATAACGCAAGGTCTACCACATGAATTCTGACGTGACCATGACCATCCGTCTTCTGCCCCTCAAGTATTGATTTAGTGGTGATGGAAAATAAAAGACCCTACACTGAAAGGAAAAAAGTCCTTTGCTCTCAAAGTCAGTTTTTAGCACAAAGCTAAGTGGGCACATGGGAGGCCAGAGCATGAATTAGTGGCTTCATTCATCTTTAGCAGATCTGTGGCTTTCAGTGTGCTCCCATGTGACATCCCGTTGGCCCGGGTGCGCTCAGTGGGATTCCTGGAGCATTCTGTCATTCACTCCACACGTACATGCACACATAAAGACTACCAGATTGACTACTACAGTATAGAGCGCTGTAGCCACAGGCTTCTATAATAAACTAATCACATTGTATCAACACACAGAGGGTGTAAGCTTTCCTCAAGCAGAAGAGGCAGTGCCATGGAAAAACCGCATGTTTCACTGAGACAGTCCCTTTTCTGTGTTCCTGAGGAATGAAAGGAAAGAGGATGAAAACAGTCTGGTGGTCCTATACGGGTCATATGATTGGCACACGTGGTAACCGA